ACATGATTGTATATTTAGAAGACCCCATCATCTCAGCCCAAAATCTTTTCAAACTGATTAGCAACTTCAGCAAAATCTCAGGATATAAAATTAGTATTCAGAAATCACAAGCATTCCTATATACCAATAGCAGACAAACAGCCAAATCAAGAGCAAACTCCCATTCAGTTGCTACAAAGAGAATAAAATACCTAGGAATACAACTAACAAAGGATGTAAATGACCTCTTCAAGGAGAACTACAATCTACTTCTTGAGGAAATAAGAGAGGACACAAACAGATGGAAAAACATTGCATGCTCATGGTTAGGAAGAATTAATATTGTGAAAATGGCCATACTGCCTAAAGTAATTAATACATTTAATGCCATACCCATCAAGCTACCAATGATCTTCACAGAACTGGAAAAAACCGCTTTAAACTTCATATGGAACCACAAGAGAGCCTGCATAGCAAAGACAATCCTAAGCAAAAAAAGCAAAGCTAGAGGCATCATCACACTGCCGGAATTCAAACTATACTATAAGGCAACACTAATCAAAACAGCATGTTACTGGTACCAAAACAGACATAGACCAGAACAGAGGCCTCAGAAGCAACACCACACATCTACAACAATCTGAACTTGGACAAACCTAACAAAAACAAGAATGGGGAAAGGACTCCATGTTTAATAAATGGTGTTGGGAAAACTGGTTAGCAATGTACAGAAAGCAGAGACTGGACCCCTTCCTGTCACCTTACACTAAATTAACTCCAGATGGATTAAAGATTTAAACACAAAACCTAACACCATGAAAACTCTAGAAGAAAATGTAGGCAAAACCATCCAAGACATAGGCATAGGCAAGGACTTCATGACTAAAACACCAAAAGCAATGACACAAAAGCCAAGATGGACAAATGGGATCTAATTAAAATTCAGAGCTTCTGTACAGCAAAAGAAACAGTCATTAGAGTGAACTTGCAGCCAACAGAATGGGAAAAAATTCTTGCAATCTAACCATCTGATCAAGGGCTAATATCCAGAATCTACAAGGAACTAAAACAGATATACAAGAAAAAAACAACCCCATTCAAAAGTGGGCAAAGGGTATGAACAGACACTTTTCAAAAGAAGACATATGAGGTCAACAAACATGAAAAAGTATTCATCATCACTGGTCATTAGAGAAATGCAAATCAAAACCACATTGAGGTATCAGCTCATGCCAGTAAGAATGGCAATCGTTAAAAAATTAGGAGACAACAGATGCTGGAGAGGATGTGGAGAAATAGGAATGCTTTTAGACTGTTGGTGGGAGTGTAAAGTAGTTCAACCATTGTGGAAAACAGTGTGACGGTTTCTCAAGAACCTAGAAATAGAAATTCCATTTGACCCAACAATCCCATTGCAAAGGACTATAAATTGTTCTATTATAAAGACACATGCACACGTATGTTCATTGCAGCCCTATGTACATTAGCAGAGACCCGGATCCAACCCAAATGCCCATAAATGATAGACTGAACAAAGAAAATGTGGCACATATACACCATGGAATACTATGCAGCTGTATAAAACAATGATTTTATGTTCTTTGTAGGGATATGGATGAATCTGAAACCATCATCCTCAGCAAACTGACACAAGAACAGAAAACCAAACACTGCATGTTCTCACTCATAGGCGGGTGCTGAACAATGAGAACACGTGGACTCAGGGAGAGGAGCATCACTCACTGGAGATAGTTGGGGGGAGTGGCTTGGGGAGGGACAGCATGATGGGGAGCATGGGGAGGGATAACATGGGAAGAAATGCTAAATATAGATGAAGGGGGAATAGAGGCAGCAAACCACCTGGTTATGTATGCACCTATGCAACAACCCTGCATGACCTACACATATATCCCAGAACCTAAAGTAAAATTAAAAAAAAAAAAAAAAGCAAAGACAAAAAGAAAGTAAAAAGGCAAGCTATGGAATGGGAGAATATATTTGTAATCTTGCAAAACCCTAGAATATATGAGGAATGTCATCAAATTAATAACTGTTTCCATTAGGAAGCAGATCAAAGATCTGAACTATCACTTCACAAAAGAGTGTATTTAAAATGCTTAATAACTGTAAAAAAGTGTTCAACTTCATTAATTATCAGATAAATGGAAATTCAAACCACAATGAGATACTACTACATCCACTGGTTAGAGTGAAAGGTATAATTCCAAGTGTTGACAAAGATGTAGAATAGCTCTCACATACTGACTGTGGGAGAATAAATTGTTAAGATCACTTCAGAAAATTGTTTGACATTTTCTTATAGATCTGACTGATACAGACCTTATGAGTCATCATTTCTACCTATAGGTATACCCATCAGAAATGCATATACCAAAAAGATCTTTTCAAGAATGTTTCTAGCAGCACTATTCATAATAGCCAAATAATGAACAACCCAAATACTTTAATAGTAGAATGCATAAATATATTGTGGCATATCTATAAGTGAAATAGTATGTGTCAATAAGAATGAACTAACCAAAATTACTTGCAGCAGTAAAAATAAATCTCACAAACCCAATGTTGAGCAAAAGAAGCCAGACATAAGAGAACATATGCTGTATGGTTATATTTTTATAAATTTTTTAAAAACAGGCAAAATGATTCTCTACTCTTAGAAGTCAGGATTTGAGTTCCACATGGAACCTGGAGGTAGTGACTTAGGGGTTTGGGGTTGTTGGTCATTTAAGTAGTTCTCATTTTTTGCAGTACCATGTTAACTAAAACTCGTGTGTATCAGAACTTTGTCCCTACTTGGATTTGATGTTTCCACAGAACTGTGTAAAATGAAGACATTTACACCAATATACGAAGTGAAGAGTACTTGTATTCTGTTGCTTGATTTGAGATCTGGTTACATGAGTATATTCACTTTGTGAGAATTATTTAGCTCTATACGTATAATTTGTGTATCTTCTGTATGTAGGTAGTACTTGAATAAAAACAGTTTTGATTAACTTCCTTTCATCTCATTCTCACCATTCTATGCCTCTTTCATGGTATATCTTTATTCTTATTATTGCTCTTGCTTATTTGCCTGTTTCTTCCTATAATTCTACAATCCATTCAGTGGATAAGGACTATGAATTGTTTGTTCATCTTTGTATTATTTACTGTACCTTGTATGGGCCCTTGCACATAGTAGGTAAGTAAGTATTTACAGAGTAAAGATGTCAAAAATTAATCAAGTGAAACTTTAGAAATCAGAGGCTTCTTTGAGTTATATTTTAAAATTACTCTTTAATATATATGTGATTATGAATACTTTCTCCCTTCAAAAAGCCAGAAGATTACAGATGCTTTTAGTGATCTCTTTGAACACCTTTCTTCTCTGTCTTATTTTCTTCTCTCCAACCCTAGAAATAACTTCTTTGTTTTTTATGATGTTTCTATTTTGATACATATAAGTTTAATTTTTGTACTACTTATAGGATTCTGTTGTATCATTTTTTATTTATTCTGTTAAAAGACATTTTGTTAGGTATGTTTTATAGCAAAGGCTCCACTGAACAACATGGTACCTCTTGTGTTTAAATGTTTCTCAATACTCCATAGATACTAAATTTCTGGTCATGTTACAAATGCTAATACCTGCCTATAAATGCTTGAATCTATTTCTGGGTTTTCTATACTGTCTTTTAACTTTTCTTATGGTCTTTTAACTTTGCTTATGGTGTCTTCAGCTGTATAGAAGTTTTAAATTTGAATGTTGGAAAATGTGTCAGTCTTTCCATTTATAGGTTTTGTTCCTGGTGCCTTCCAGCTAACAAATGTAATTTGAGCAAAAAAGCATGGCAGGTGCTTCTTGGGATATTTGTGAACAAAACAGACAAAAATTTCTGCAATTGTGAAGTTAAGAAAGCATTGTCTAACTCAAGGTCAATAATGCATTTTCTTGCAATCATTGTTAAAATTTTAACAATATTTGGATTTTTATCTATAATTTATTTTTCTATTTAGTGTGTGCTGAAATCTAATTTTGTTTTGTTATCCAGTGCTATTTTTTGGATAGCAGTACTTTGTCCATTCAATTATAATTCCTCTTGTTTTATATACCACATACCTTCAAATGGCTTGAATCTATTTCTGGGTTTGGTATACTGTTGTATTTGTTACTGTATCTATAGCATACTGTTTAAATTGCTGTAGCATTGTGGTGTTTTGCTATGTAATAAGCCAAGTTTTTCCCTCTTTCTTTTTTCTTTTCCTTTTTGTTTTGGGGGGGGGGCAAGATTATTTTGGCTAATTTTGTACACTTACCCATTCATGGAACTTTAGGATTTAAAGGTTAAGTGTTATAAATTATTCTATTGGAACTTCATTTTTTCAGTGCAATGAAGTTGCAGTGAATTTAGAGAACTGACATACTCAAAATATTGACCGTTGCACACATACATGAATGTTATAGTACCATGTTTGTTTAGATTTTCTTTATTATCCTTTATTAAAGCTAATTTTCTCAATAAGTTCCTATACCATTTTTTGTTTGCTTTACTCCCAGTTATTGTTTGTCATAGTAGTGAATAGGATTTTTTTCCTATTATGTTTTCTCATTATTGCTGGTATTTTAAAAAGCTACTGAATTTTTTTTAAGTGTTCATCTTCTGTATAGTAACTTTTAGTGTATTCTCTTATACTATTGTAAATAATAATAGCCTTGTATCTTGCTTTTCAACCTTTAAATTGTAATTGATGTAGATTTCTGGCAGATATTTTTATCAAATTAAGAAAAATTCCTCAAATTTCTAATTTACCAATAGTTTTTATTATGTATGGGTGTTAAATTTAACAAATATATTTCAATATCAGTTGAGCTTATTTTTTCTTTTTCTATCATTTTGAATCATATAAATAGATTTTCTAAGGCTGTAAAAATTTAATTGCATTTAATGTTAAATCACTGTCAATTTTGTCTAGAATGATGTGAGAAAACATTTTAAGATGCACATTCTCTGTTATAGAAAGTTGTCTGCAAAGGAGAAGGAGGCGACAGATTTGAAAACCTAGCATTTGACCAAAGGTAAAGTATTACCAGAAAAATGTCATTTTCTTAGTTATATTTAATTATCATTAAAAGAATTCTTTTAGTATCAGAAATGTTTGTTTATGGTCTGCTATTATTAAGTTTAAATGCTTTGTTCTTGAATTTACAAGAAAAAGCAAGTATAAAATTAGTCTAAAAAATTAGTTCTCAGTGAGGAACAAGTTTACCCTTGTTTCCTCAAGAGATTTGGTAAATGTCTGGAAACATTTTTGCTTGTCACAACTGTGGAAAGTGAGGCTGCTGCTGCCATCTAATGGGTAGAGGCCAAGGATGCTGTTAAACATCCTTCAGTGCACAGACTAGCCACCCCACAACAAAGAATTTTTCAGCCCAAAGTAGTCATTGTGCAAATATTTAAAACTCTTGGTTTTGAAAAAAAAGGAAAAGTATCGATTGCTTAAGTAAACTAAACATAAAATTTTTTATGTGTAATTTATTTTACTTGTTACATATTTATTAAACTAGAATGTGCTCTATTTTTATTGTCTTTTTTTTTTTTTAGCTTTTCAGCACCTCTTATTACTGAGTATGATAAGCATCTAGAAGAACTAAGTGGGCAGCTGAAATATTATCAGGTATGAAATCATAATTATGAGACTTTTTAAATATTTTATTATGAAAATAAAAAGTAGCTGAGGAGGGTGGATCACAAGGTCAGGAGTTTGAGACCAGCCTGGCCAGCATGGTGAAAACCCATCTCTACTAAAAGTACAAAAAATTAGCTGGGCCTGGTGATGTGTACCTATAATCCCAGCTACTTGGGAGGCTGAGGGAAGAGAATCACTTGAACCCAGGAGGCGGAGTTTGCAGAGCCAAGATCATGCCACTGCACTGCAGCCTGGGTGATAGAGCAAGACTCTGTCTCAAAAAAAAATTTTTTTTTAATAATAATAAATAAAAAGTAAAATAGACTCCCTCTTTTTAAAAAGACATTGATGAGGAAGACAATATTTGCTGTAACTAACCAATTGATGGCCCTCTGTAAGTGTGTATGCATGTATATATGTGCATATGTTTTAAAGATTCTATTCTAGCTGGATACAGTGGTTCATACCTATAATGCCAGCACTTTGGGAAGCTAAGGTAGGAAGATCATTTCAGCCTAGGAGCTTGAAACCAGCCTAGGTAATGTAGTGAGACCCTATCTCTTAAAAAAAAAAAAAAGTTAGTTGGGTGTGGTGGTGTGCATCTGTGATCCTAACTACTCAGAAGGCTGAAGTGAGAGAATCGCTTGAGCCTGGGAGATTGAGGCTTCAGTGAGCTGTGGTGAAGCCACCGTATTCCAGCCTAGTCAGCAGAACTGGACCTTGTCTCAAAGAAAAAAGTCAAGATTCTCTTCAGTTTTGTCTTTTAATTCAGTATTTCCTTGCTCTTGCTATCTTGCTTGAAATATTTCTTAGATGCTTAGAAGAATCTCTTAATCTCATTAGTTGCTTACATCTCTCTCTCTCTCTCTTTTTTAACATAAAACTGCCTCTCACCCTTTTAGACCTTCCTTCTTACCTCATTCTATCTGAATTTCCCATTACTTGCAGAATGGACTATGATTTTGGGTCTCAGGGCTGCTTAAACTAGGATGTGTAGTAGGCTTATGGAGAACTAGAATAATAGCACAAAATTGTTTAGGGTACAATTTGAGTTTCAGTCAGCTATGTGTTTAGAGTATACCTAATATTTATAATGTGTTTCTTTGAATTGAAAATGTCTGTAACATTTTTCCCTAAAATTTTGACCTTTCTGATACTGGGATAACAATATAATAGAAGTATTTCTTAAATAGAACTTATATGTCTCAAGCTAAGCCTTTCAGGAGGTAGTGACCTCTCTTCATTAGAGCTTGAATATACTCATGATTATATTTGGTTTAGATTCCAATTCCTGGATGAATATGGTTGTGGCAAGGGTAGCAGGATTGGCTTTCATTAATGCAAATGAAAGAGATTATAATGACTTTATATTAAAGCAACCCAGCCAGGTGTGGTGGCTCACGTCTGTAATCCCAGCACTTTGGGGAGCTGAGGCACACAGAATACTTGAGATCAAAAGTTCAAGACAAGCCTGGTCAACATAGTGAAACCCTGTCTCTACTAAAAATACAAAAATTAGCCAGGTATGGTGGCACACAACTCTAATCCCTGCTACTTGAGAGGCTTAGGCAGGAGAATCACTTGAACCTGGGAGGTGGAGTGGCATTAAGCCAAGATTGTGCCACTGCACTATAGCCTGGGCAAGAGAGTGAGACTCTGTCTCAATAAATAAATTAAATAAATAAATAAATAAATAAAATATATTAAAGCAACCCCCAAGACTGATTTTCTCAGAATGGGGCTGTGTGTGTGGCAGACACTAAGCACTTTCTCCCTCACTTACTTTTCTTTTTAATGCATGGGCATGAAGGGATCATACTGTATACTTTCAAGTGTAGCACATAGTAGGCCCTTAAATATTTAATGCATGACTAAATGCCAGGGCTTATGGGAATAAGATGATTAGAGCTAGCTTAACAATTACTTATTTATCAATTAATGCATTGATATGTAGTTTTACTAAAAGAACACATAATACATAATACTTCCAATTTATAAAAATAAAGTTAGGGTTTTTTACTGCATTTGGAATTATGTAGGCTTTTATTTCCAAGGTTATTTTTTAAATACATAAATGTACAAAGTTGTCCTATAGACTCAAATTTCAAATAAAAGCATTCCATTAAACTTATAATGTCTGTTTTATCATAAAGTCTTTTCCTGGTCTTTACTGTGTATTTTTTAGCCTGGAGTCATTTAAATTTATGACAAGCACAGTAATGTCTTTAAATCTTTCTAGTTGACAGTTAAAGAGCAACAGAAAACTCTCTTTTGCACAAATGATATTTTGCTGTTATTTTTAGGACTAGTGAATTTAAAGTTTCTACTGAATTTGCTCTCTCTAAATTCCTATATTATATACTTTGATTGTTATAACATAAAACAGCTAATTATCTTGAAATTAAATTATTTTAAATTTTTATAATCTGATTCATGTATTTCTTTAATCAGCCATTTTACTAAGATGTTTAACTTTGTGTTTCCATTTGGCATTCTTTACCACCAAAGGATGATCACTGAATTAATTATGAGAAAAATTAACTATGCTAGAAAGCCAAAGAGTCCATGATGATAAAAATAATTACTCCTTTTTTTTAAAGAAAAAAAAATTGACAGCTAAGAATCGTTGCTTAGAGAGATGTGATTGATTAGAAGGACTAGTTCTTATGACTTTTTGACCCGGTCAAAAAATAGTATCTCTCCAAAGCAGGAAAAGTAGCAGTCTAATTCTCTACATGTAATATTTTCTGCCAGAAAATGTAAATAGTAGGGAAGAATTTGATGATGTGAGAAATACTATGTGGATTTCACTTCCTTCCAAATATAAATATTTTGAAATATTTTACATAAGAAATGTCTAGTGTGAATATTACAATCCATCTTTAGTCTTAGCTAGTGAATATATATCTTACATAATTATTTAGGAGTAATAAATACTCTTTAAGGTTTTGCAACTTTTAAAGATCAGTTTATTGACTGTAGTGAGCTGCGATTATGCTTTCACATTCTAGCTTAGGAGTCAGTGAGAACCCATCTCAGGAAAAAAAAAAAAAGATCAATTCCTTTAAAAATTATAAAATTGATATAATTGCTACAATAAATCCAAACCTCTTGCCATGACATTTTCAAAACCCTGTACCTCTCTTTGCAATTTTATCTCTCACTATATCACTCCATATATGGTCAGCGCTCAATTATGTGGTAGTGAATTAATTCATGTTGGTTTAATTGTGTTTAACGCATATTGGAGACCTTGGAAAAGTTCACCTTTCAAACCAAATCTGTAGTTAGAATTTGCTATTGCTGATCTCCTAGACCAAGCTGTCTTGATCTTCTCTGGTTGAAAGGGAGAGAAAAAGGCTTGGAGAACTGCCTGTTCCACCCGTCCCTTGCAAAGGTGTACTCTAGGATTAGCTTCTCTCCATTAGCCTAGGAAGCACAATCAAGACTAACACACAATCATAAATTGATTACAGTTTTAAGTGAGATTTTTCATCCTTTTACATGTAAATTCAGGGTTTGTTTGTTTTTTCCTGCTCTCGACTTGCTCATTCAGACTTACTGAGAGTTGACTATTTATTTTCTGCTCTTTTGTTTTTACTGATATTTTCACCTACTTTAAATGCTCATCCTTTTCTTTTCAAATCCTAGCATCTTTTACTCCCTTCAGAGAGCATTAATCAGACCTTCATTTAATTCCCTTTCTAGTGTACATTTATTCTTCCTTGTATTTTAGTTAGGGTTTGTTTTGTTATTTTTCTATCAGTCCTACCATTTTTCAGTGAGCCTGTCTGTTTACCTTAGCAGCTTTGTATGGTACAGAGAGTTTAGATAATTAATGAAGGTGGTGAATCAGAGACTGAATGAATGACTCCTAAAAAAGACTTCCATTTCCTTCTTTATTGTTAGCATTTTATGGACTTCACCTAAACTGAGGTGAGTTAACTAAGATATACATTCAAGATAAAGGAACCATCTGGTATTTGTTATAGTGACATACTGAGGAATATCTTTCATTTGTTTTTCACAGCTACAGATCATAGGAATTAAATTTATAAATATTTCTTACTGTGTTACATTAAATATTTCTATTTTATTTATATTCTATTTAAAATGAATGTTTTATTGTGTTCTGTGTATTAACTATCCATATTAATTATCCCCTGTTAGAAATAAGAATGTCTTTCTTATCTGTAGACTAGTGTCAGAATCTGATTGCTTACATGAGTGGTCTACTTAATGGGGATCTAATTGTCTGGAAAATGTATTGCCACTCCATATTTTATTCTTTCAGAAACAGGTGGGTGAGATGAAACTACAACTTGAAAATGTCATCAAGGAAAATGAAAGGTAAATCAATTAACTATTGGTTCTATCTTTTATCATTGTCTTAGGTAATTTTTATTTTTGTTATTTGATATTTGATAGCTATTAATGGTAAAGAATGTGGACTCGATATATATTTAGAATCATTAGCTCTGGAGAGGACTCAAGATGGCGCTGTGAGAACAACCCAGGATTGGAGCTCTCGTTGAATCCGCAAAGAGGTGAGTCCGAGCTGCATTTCCAGACTGATCTTTGTTGCCCACAGAATGGGGAAACTCCCAAGTATAAAAAAGACACGGGACGCCAGGCAGTAAGTCTGCCTGGCAAAGCCCGCAGCCGGGGCGGCGGCGGCTGGCCCTACCCAGCAATCCCCACAGGGCGCGCTTGTCCGGGTGCCCTGTTGAACCGGCAACCTGAGACTTGAGAGGGCTGGACTTGAGACTGAACGAGACTTGGACGTTAGGCCAGCCCAGGGGATTGCAGGGACAGAGCATTTGGGATACCCAGTGGGACGAACAAAACTGCGATTTCAAACTATCCCGAGCAGACGGTCCGAGACACTGTGTGAGGGAGGGGCGTCCACCACTACCGAGGCAACCCACCCCAACTGAGATACACGCCCACTGCTGACGCAGCCAGCCGTTGCCGAGGCAACCCGTCCCTACTGAGATACACGCCCACTGCTGACTCAGCCTGCTGTTGCCGAGGCAACACGCTACAACAAAGAGACTCCGCCGCAGGGCGTGGCGGAGACCACAGCAGAGCCTGCAGGAACAGGGCGAATCACACAACAGCAGGGCAGAGACTCGGCAGGCAAACAGTAGCTAGTCTGACTCCTAGCTGGGCAGGACGCCTCAAAGGACATCGAAAAATAAAGCCCAAACCCCCCAACACAGAGCATTTGAGAAAAAAAGGGTTTTTTTTAATGAGCTCTGTTGTAGCAGAATCAAACATAGCAGCCTAACAGCCCTGAATGAACAACAGAGCTCACAGCTCAGAAATTGAGCTCCTAAAAAGAACAGACTGTGTCCTCAAGCAGCCCCCTGACCCCTCTATATCCAAAAGACTGACATTTGGCAGGCAGCATCCTGGGACAAAGATAGCAGAAAAAGAAACTGGTAGCATCCCTCACTGTGCCACAGCTGCTAGAGGTGCACCCCAGACAAGCAGGGCCTGGAGTGGACCTCAGCAGTCGTACAGCAAAGGGGCTAGGCTGGTAGAAGGAAAACCAAGTAACAGAAATACTTCATAATCAACAATCTGGGTGTCCACTCAGAGACCCAATCGAAAAGTCAGCAACTACGCAGACGACAAGCGGATAAACCCACAAAGATGGGAAGAAACCAGCGAAAAAAGGAGGAAAACACCCGAAACCAGAACACATCGCCTCCTAGAAAGGACCAAAACTCCTCACCAGCAAGGGAACAAAGCTGGACGGAGAATGACTGTGACGAAATGACGGAATTAGACTTCAGAAGGTGGATAATGACAAACTTTTGTGAGCTAAAAGATCATGTATTAAATCAATGCAAAGAAACTAAGAACCTTGAAAAAAGATTTGAAAAAAGATTCGAGGAAATGATAACAAGAATGGATACCTTAGAGAGGAATATGAATGAATTAAAGGAGCTGAAAATCACAATACGAGAACTTCACGAAGCATGCACAAGTTTCAATAGCCGAATTGACCAAGCAGAAGAAGAATATCTGAAGTCGAAGACCAACTCAATGAAATTAAATTGAGAAACCAAGATTAGAGAAAAAAGCCAAAAAAGAATGAACAAAGTCTCCAAGAAATGTGGGACTATGTGAAAAGACCTAACCTACGTGTGATAGGTGTACCAGAAGGGGACGAAGAGAATGAATACAAACTGGAAAATACCCTTCAGGATATCATCCAGGAAAATTTCCCCCACCTAGCAAGACAGGCCAACACTCAATTGCAGGAAATTCAGAGAACACCACAAAGATATTCCGCAAGAAGAGCAACCCCAAGGCACATAATCATCAGATTCAACAAGGTTGAAATAAAGGAGAAAATACAAAGGGCAGCCAGAGAGAAAGGTCGAGTTACCCACAAAGGGAAGCCCACCAGACTCACAGCAGATCTCTCGGCAGAAACACTACAAGCCAGAAGAGAGTGGGGGCCAATATTCAACATTCTTAAAGAAAAGAACTTTCAACCCAGAATTTCATATCCAGCCAAACTGAGCTTCAGAAGTGAAGAAAAAATAAAATCCTTTGTGAACAAGCAAGTACTCAGAGATTTTGTCACCACCAGGCCTGCTTTACAAGAGCTCCTAAAAGAGGCACTACACATAGAAAGGAACAACCAGTACCAGCCATTCCAAAATCACACTAAATGCTAAAGAGCATCAACATAATGAAGAATCTACAACAACTAACAGGCAAAACAGCCACTTAGCATCAAAATGGCACTATCAAATTCACGCATAACAATATTAACCCTAAATGTAAATGGACTAAATGCACCAATCAAAAGACACAGACTGGCAAATTGGATAAAAAGCCAAAACCCATCAGTGTGCTGTATTCAGGAAACCCATCTCACATGCAAGGATACACAAAGGCTCAAATAAAGGAATGGAGGAAGATTTACCAAGGAAATGGAGAGCAAAAAAGAGCAGGATTTGCAATTCTCAGCTCTGAATAAAATAGACTTTAAAGCAACAAAGATCAAAAGAGACAAAGAAGGCCATTACATAATGGTAAAAGGATCGATACAACAAGAAGAGATAACGATCCTAAACATATATGGACCCAATGCAGGAGCACCCAGATACATAAGGCAAGTTCTTAATGACTTACAAAGAGACTTAGACTCCCACACAATAATAGTGGGAGACTTTAACACTCCACTGTCAATATTAGACAGATCAACCAGACAGAAATCAACAAGGATATCCAGGCTTGAACTCAGACCTGGAGCAAGCAAACCTGATAGACATTTACAGAACTCTCCACCCCAAATCCACAGAATATACATTCTTCTCAGCACCGCATCACACCTACTCTAAAATTGATCACATAATTGGAAGTAAAGCACTGCTCAACAAATGCAAAACAACTGAAATCATAACAAACAGCCTCTCAGACCATAGTGCAATCAAGTTAGAACTCAGAATACAGAAACCGACCCAGAACCGCACAGCTTCATGGAAACTGAACAACTGGCTCTTGAATGTTGACTGGGTAAACAATGAAATGAAGTCAGAAATAAAGAAGTTCTTCGAAACCAATGAGAACGAAGACACAACATGCCAGAACCTCTGGGACACATTTAAAGCAGTCTCTAGAGGAAAGTATATAGCAATAAGTGCCCATATGAGGAGAATGGAGAGATCCAAAATTGACACCCTATCGTCAAAATTGAAAAGAGCTAGAGGAGCAAGATCAAAAAAAGTCAAAACCCAACAGAAGACAAGAAATAACTAAGATCAGAGCTGAACTGAATGAGATTGAGACGTGAAAAACCCTTCAAAAAATCAATAAATCCAAGAGCTCGTTTTTGAAAAGATCAACAAAATAGACCACTAGCCAGACTGATTAAAAGAAGAGAGAACAACCAGGGGGAGGACTCAAGATGGCGCTGTGAGAACAACGCAGGATTGAAGCTCTCGCTGGACGCACGGAGAGGGTGAGTCGGGGAAGCATTTCCAGACGGATCTTAGTTGCCCACAGAATGCGGAAATTCCCAGGTATAAAAGAGACGCGGGACGCCAGGCAAGGTCTCTGCTGGCGTAGCCGGCAGCCGGTGGGGCTCCGGCCCGCGCCGGAGCACAGAGGCGCTCCACAGCACTCCATACAAAAGCGCACTGTTACGGGTGCCCTGTTGAACCGACAAACTAAGACCCGAGAGGGCTGAACTTGAGACTGAACGGGTCTTGAACTGTGACCCAGCCCAGGAAATCCCAGGGACTCAGCGTTTGGGGGAGCGCAGTGCGACAAACAAACGGCAATTCCAAATGCTCCAGGTGAATAGGGTTTTTTTAAAAGTGCAGCTCCGCGGGGGAGGGGCATCAGCCATTACCGAGGCAATCAGTCCCTACTGAGGTACACGCCCATTGCTGACGCAGCCTGCTGCTGCCAAGGCAACCCGGTACAAACAGAGAGACTCCGCCGCAGGGCGTAGCCCAAGGCAACAGAGCGGAGACCACAGCAGAAGGGCGGAGCCTGCAGGAAAAGGGCGAACCTCACAACAGCACGGCAGAGCCTCGGCAGGCAAAAAGTGACTAGACTGCCTCCTAGCTGGGCAGGACAGTGAGGCGGACACTCACAAGGAAAGCCCCAACCCCCCCCCCCCAGACAGAGCATCTGACGAAAAAAAGGGGTTTTTTTTTTTGTTTGTTTGTTTGTTTTCATGGTTCACTGATGCCTTTTATTTTGAGCACAAAACCACTGGTGATCTTGCCTGTGGCCACCCCGGAGATGACCCTGGAGGTTCATATTGCTCCAGACACTTGGTGGAAAGTGAGGCGAGAAAAACAACGATTTGGGCCAATTACATGACTGCAAAGCTAGGGCTGCCAAGTGGGCTCCAGGGAGCATGGCTTCTGTAGAAGTTCTAAGCAAGCAGTGCGAACTCCATGGTGGTGGGCAAGGGGAGCTAACTAGCAGGGACCCCTGCAAGTGTTGGTCGGGGGGCCTGGAGCTGCCCGAGCTGACAAGAGGGGAGGAGTCTAATTAGCCAACAGGCGACTGAAGGGCTGGCCTGCCCACTGCTTACTTGGCCAGGGGGTTTCTGAAGTTCCTGCCAGCAAACTTGGCCTTGCTGCCCAGCTCCTCTTCAATTCTGAGGAGCTGGTTGTACTTGGCCAAGCGCTCAGATCGGCAAGGGGCACCAGTCTTGATCTGCCCAGTGCACAGCCCCACCACCAGGTCGGCGATGAAGGTATCTTCAGTCTCCCCAGAACGATGAGACACCATGACGCCCCAACCATTGGCCTGGGCCAACTTGCACACCTGCAGGGACTCGGTCACAGAGCCGATCTGGTTCACTTTGA